CTAGGGGCTAAGACAGGATAAAACATTAGAAACAAAGTTTTTTCTGGTGTTGGTACTCTAGCCAAGTCTCTTTTGTTTATCGTTTGGTAAGTAATGGGTGATTTTTTTGCTGGTATCTTTTTGGCAACACTGTTTTTGACAGATGACGCGTGAATCGTGTTCTGCGTCATTGTCAAACTTGTTCAGTTTGGTCTATAATTTAACCATGAATCGACTTACGAACGAACAACGCTTGCAAATTATTGAATTTTACTATCAAAATTCATGCTCGGTTAAGAGAGTGCATCGAGCACTGCTTCCAATTTATGGGCAATTTGGTCGGCCTACTGAGGGACCTATTCGGAAGCTTGTGACTAAATTTCGAACCCGGTTTACATTATTGGACATTAAACCACCAACACGCAGACGTAGGGTGAGGACTGAAGAAAATATTGCGGCTGTATCCGCCAGTGTTAGTGATGACCGTGAAATGTCGATTCGCCGCCGTTCGAAGCAATTGGGCCTCTGTTACTCCACTACGAGGAAAATTTTGCGACAGGATTTGGATGTAAAACCTTATAAGATACAGCTGGTGCAAGAATTGAAGCCACACGACTTCCCACAACGATACCAATTTGGTGAATGGGCGCTGGCAAAGTTGGAGGAAGATCCACTTTTTTATCGAAAAATTGTGTTCAGCGACGAAGCTCATTTCTGGTTGAATGGGTACGTTAACAAGCAAAATTGCCGCATCTGGAGTGAAGACCAGCCAGAAGCATTGCAAGAGCTACCAATGCATCCCGAAAAAATCACTGTTTGGTGTGGATTAAGGGCCGGTGGCATCATCGGGCCGTACTTCTTCAAAGACGACAATGGCCGGAACGTAACTGTCCATGGCGCGCGCTACCGTGCGATGATAACAAACTTTTTTTTGCCCAAAATGGAAGAGCTAGACTTGGCTGACATGTGGTTTCAACAAGACGGTGCCACATGCCACACCGCACACGAAACAATGGCCCTATTGAGAGGCGAGTTCGGTGAACAGTTTATCTCACGTTTGGGGCCCATCAATTGGCCGCCTAGATAAACCAGCAACGATTGACGCACTGGAAGCCAATATTGAAGCATTTATTCGTGAGATACCGGCCGATATGTTGGAGAGAGTGTGCCAAAATTGGACCTTGCGCATGGGCCATCTAAAGCGGAGCCGCGGCCAACATTTACATGAAATAATCTTTAAACATTAAATTATATCCACCGTTCTATCGACTCAAATAAAGATTTAATCGTTTTTTCAAATTTTTTGTGTTTATTTTGAAAATCAAATCCTATACCTCTTAAAAAAATCACCCGTTATAAGTAATAGCTCAGAGATTTTCTGTTTTTATATTGCAAGACTATAGAAACAGAGTTGTCTTACGTAAAAAACACACATTTTCACGTGAGGATAACTTCATAAGTCATTATCTATGAGGAAAACCATTTAGACCATTTTCTGGGAATAGGAAGTACGGAAAATGTAATACTTGTCTTCTTCATCCTGAAACAGTGAGTCACTCCAAGCAGTCTAGATTTACAACTCTCCATTGGCGGACATGGCAAATTTCCGATTAGATGTCTGCAAAAATCCGAATGTAAATACTCGTAGATAGGTCTATATTTTTTAGTAGCCTGTGGAGGTCACGCTAATAACAGCTCGCCGCCAAGCTGGGACTCACTCCGAGCTACGGGTATATACCGATACCGGGCTTATCATTTATATGCTGACAAATTTACAGCCTCATTAATTAATGGTGAGATAGTTATTTTCGCTCTCTTGTAGGTTATTTGCACATGTGCCGTGTTGGGGTCACTATGTGATTAAGTAGCCCCGCTCCTTAATTGCTAATATCTTCATAGCCGAGAGTGGTCGCATATTACGGAACCTGTCTGCAACTTTTATGGTTCGTTTTCATGCGGTAGGTCTTGTGAACTCGGCATAAGACACGTTTATTATCTTGCAGGTTCGTATAAAGCACTGTATCCTTTGATAGGAGAAGTTACTGATTACTCACTATTTGGAGTCCGATTTTGTTAAAGGCCTTCAACAAATGCTTGATTGTATATATATTGTATCAATGACAGACAGAAAAAAAAATGCTAACTCTTTCAAGCGAAACCAAGATCTACGTGATGTGACATTGAACCCTTCCCCATCCTAAACCAACCAACACATAAGAATAACATACACAAAACAGTTCGAAAATTGAGCGGTCAGCATGATAAGACTGCTTAAGTATGTTAATTATGAATTTTGGCGCTTGAATTTTTTAAATTGGAATGACTCCACCTAGCGGCCATTTTAGGGAGCTGAAGATAATTTTCAGCAATTTATCTTGGTCACTTTTGTCTTAAAATGTTTTCTGTTTGCTTCGGTTGCCGAGATACAGCCGCGTCCTCCCCCACTCCCACTCTAACTCTTTTATATGACATTTCAGAAGAAAAAGTTATAGATATAGTCTATTATGAAATTTTTCATGTAATGTTTTTTTTAAGCATGGTGACTCAGAAAAGTGCTATCAAATATAGTTGTATTCCTTTAAATAGAACTCCCTATGTATTTTCAAAGAAAACTAATAGTTCATTTTTTATGATCCAGAATATCATATTTGTTTTCCTAAGTTTGGCCAAAAACTTGTTTGTGTGTCATTTACTCATATGTACCTGTGTTCGAACCAGTTTGCATCTAGCCGGCTATGGAATCTGGTATACGGCCGGAATACATATGATTAAACGGCACACAAACTTCAAAGTTCGTGACTGGAGTAGTAAAAATAAGTTCAACAAGCCATTTACCAGGTAACCAAATAAGTTCGTGCGGTTGATATACATCGCACATTGCCATGGATGTTCTTGATCTATAAGATCTTCGACAGGTTGTGGACGCTAATTCCAGGACAACTTGTCAAGAACTTGCAGAAATGTTCAAAGTGAGTCCTGAAACTATTCGTTTGCATCTCCATCAGCTAGGAAAGATGTGGAAGTTAAGCAAATGGGTCCCACATGAAGTGACAGGTGATAACAAATTAAGTCGTGTTACCATTTGTTCAGGAAACATTTCATGCAACGTTAATGAACCATTTCTTAATCGGTTATTAACATTCGACGAAAAATAGATCTTTTATTCGAATTCTAAGCGTTCGTATCATTGGTTGTCGCCTACTGATTCGGTACCACACACACCCAAGGCTTCCATGCATCCAAACAAGGTTTTCTTGTGTGTTTGGTGGACAGCAACTGGAATTGTCCATTATGAGTTTTCGAAAGGGGTCAAACCATCACTGCTAACTTATATTGTGAGCAGCTTTAACGAGTACAAGTAGCACTCATCCAGAAATAGCCTTCTTTGATCAATCAGAAGAAAGTGATATGCTTGCAGGATAACGCCAAGCCTCATACCGCTAAAGTGACCCGAGAAAAGATTTCTAAACTAGGCTGGGAAACGTTAACGACATTTCGCCCAGTGATTATCACCTTTTTTGTCTCTTGACAACTGTATGAGGCACCGACAGTTCACAACTCGAGATGGTGTAATAAATGCAGTCTGCCAATTTTTTGACTCCACATCCAGGGAGTTCTACAATACCGGTATACAAAAATTGGTTCCACGTTGGCGAAAGGTCATTGAATGTGATGGTGATTACTTCGACGAATAAATAGTCTTATTGTTTCTTAACAAAAATTTATATTTTTCTACAAAAAACTGTACGAACTTATTAGTTTACCTGGTATGTTTGGAATCGGGAAAAAGGACTATCAGCTTTACTGAAAATATACAGGGTGTTCCATTTAAAAAAATACAACAGCAATACGACAGCACTTTTGTGAGTCACCCGGTATACAAAAATAATATTACATGAAAAACGTTGTATTAGACCCTATAACTTTTATATACAAATTTTTCTTCTATAAGGTCATATAAAAAAGTTAGAGGGGGTCAATTTATGTATATGTGATGCATTGCTCTATCCCAACATAAGTGTCTACAATTATTCCTAAACGCACAACCAAAGCGATCTGAGTAGGCAAGAAATGCATTTCTCCAAGAGAAACTGGAGAAAAAACTAGAAATTTGAGTTGAAGAATGGATGTCTCCTTCTGGTACATCTATCCATTAGACTGACAATCAGAACAAATCTTCTGCCGAATTACCTGCTCCATCAAAACACATTAGGTATGTGCAAGGGCGTGCTACGGCTCTGAAGATGAGGCGGTTTCGTAACACCATAAAGCAGTGAACAAGGCACGTTTAAAAATAATTACCGACGTAGGTGCTATCCATCATCCTAGCGACCAACCACAAAATCGGCAACGTATGCTACTAATTATCGCCATGACTGCTAAGTGCAACTTGCTGCGAAGACGGTGCAGAGCTTAGAATGCCGAAGAACCTGTTAGAAATTAACTTCCTGGAGATCATGCTCTTCGCTTATAGACGAATGGTGTCGAATTCGCAATGGGTACGGTATTGATAAAAATATATGATACATCTCAAGACATCTGCTAACATATAAAGAAGAACTGAAGATGGCAACTCTGTCCTACCAATTATCAACTTGGGGAAGCGCTGTACTACCAGGTAATGCATGAAATGTAGTTCTTCTGCTTTAATTTCGAAGTTATTCATTGGAAATATTACTAATTGAACGGCATTGTCGACGCGACATATATTCATAAAATTATCTACTTCCAATTTCAGCTATAAGTTGAGGTTATAAAAATGCTGGAAGTCTTAAAAGAGTTTTTACATAGCCTCGTGCGACAACACATAGTACCAGAATGGTAAATGCTGATAGTGGGCGGTGCTTTGGATGGAATGGAATGGAATGGAATGTTAGTTAGAAACGGATTTTGCAACAGGGTGCGAAAAGGGTAGAAGCGAAGAGATACACATTAATCATGGTATCTCGGAAACTTCTAGGGATGTCTTTTAAGTTTTGCATATGGAAATAAAACAACACGGTAGGTAGTTTTAAATGACTTTATTGTTTTTCGAAGTATTCTCCACGAAGATTAATACACATCTGCATGCGCTCGAACCAATTTTCGAAGCACTTATTCCACTCGTTTGCTGGCAGATCCAAAACGGCATTTTTGAATGCGTCAACTGCTTCCTCTGGTGACTGGAACCTTTGACCACGCAGTCTGTTTTTAATTTTCGGGAAAGTAAAGGAATCGTTAGGACTTAGATCGGGACTATATAGAGGATGGTCCAATAATTCCACGTTTTCTTCCTTTAAATACTGCCCTGTCTTTTGGGTTGTGTGCGAGCTTGCATTGTCTTGGTGGAGGGTGATTCTTCTTTCGGGGTTGATTTTTCGAAGCTCGGTGATGACTTTTGGCAAACAAATGGTGGTATACCAATCCGCAGTAACAGTTCTTTGCTCGTTAAGAGGAATTGTTGCAATATGACCCGCTTTAGACACAAATGTCGCGACCATCTTTTTCGAAACACTTCAAGAACGGATAACTTTTGTTGGCTTTTCTTCACCTTGGAACACCCAAGCAGCCGACTGTCGTTTATTTTCTGGTTTATAACAGTACATCTACGATTCATCACCACTAACAATGCTGTAGTCATTTTTTGAGTTTCCGGAATTGAAACGGTCAAGCGTTTTTTGACACCAATTAACCCTGGCTGCTTCCTGCTCTTCAGTCAACAGGTGGGGTATCCAACGAGAAACTAATTTTCTTACTCGTAATTCTTCATGTAAAATTTTTTGAATTGAGGTCTTTGAGATCTTCAAGGACGCCTCAATCTTGCGATATGTCACATGTCTGACTTTAATGATGAGTTTGCGCACAGCATCGACGTTTTCCTGGATAACTGCCATTTTTGGTGCACCCACGCTGGGATCATCGCTAAGACTCACCCGTCCACGTTTGAATTCTCCATACCAGCGGGAAATTGTAGACTGATGTGGCGCTTCGTTGCCGAAAACATACAGTAACTCAGCGAGACATTCTTGTTGCGATAGTTGTCGCTGAAAGTTGTAATAAATTATGGCGCGAAAATGTTCTCGGTTGAGTTCCATTTTTATAATGACTTGGTGACACTTAAAAACTCCCTGTAGTGAGAACACTGCACGTATTGTTGTGAAACTTTGAATTTAAGTTTACTAAAGAGTGAGGTTAAGATTCAGTACTGACGTTCGATCCGCGCGGCCTACTATGTTTCTATATGCAAAGCTTAAAAGACATCCCTCGTACTAAGTACCAAGCAAATCGTCATCAACTAGGAGAAGGATGTGACAGGCTCTCAGACGATACTGATACAACTACCGGTTTCAGCTGCTCTCTTCATCGTTTTCCCGCTTGCAGCCTCTCGTTGGCCAGGTAGTGAGACAACGACCGGAGGCATAGAATTTTCGCCTCTCCTAAACTTTATTCGTCATCTTCTTCATGTGGCTTCTTCTTTACACATATCATATAGTACATCTACGTATAAGCAAAGACCGAGTATAAACACTGCTATATAACACGAAGTTATAGACTAAAGTAAGTCTGAACAGCAGTTCCAGCTTTCAGGCAAACTGGCTATGTCAAGATGACTAACGGAACACTAACCTTCACTTCCAATGAATAATCTCGTAGGGAGTTTGGAGCCAGAAAATGTCATCCTTTTCGAAATGTATACGCAAACCTACGGCATGATATTACCCTACTTGAAGGTCCATATACCATATACCTTTCACAGAATCTATCATAACCACACCAACGTTAAAATTTGATTTCCTCTAGAGTAGCTATTGAACTTCAATGACCTTTGACATGGGTAGAACATAAATATGATTGCTATCACCGGGCCATAATATGTTAGTAAAGTAATATTTTTGAGCGAGTGTAGTCGCCTGTATTGAGAGATAAAACCAAACTAGGTGTGAATGAAGCTCTACGAGGACGGTTCAATAAGTACCCGTGTTTGACGACAGGGGGCGTTCCTGACAGAAGTTAATGTTATCATCTTGTGCTGCCTCTAACAAACGACGGCACAACCAATTTCAGACCGATTGATAGGTTAGTTTGGATTTGGCAGCCATTCGAGTAACACGTTTCGCGTGATTTTCGCTAAGATGGAAAAAGAGCAGTATCGTTCGGTAATTCGCTTTTTGTTTTTGGGAAAAAATGCGAGGAGATAAAAGCAAAGTTAGATGCTGTTTATGGGAGCACTTCGCCATCTATGACCACAGTTAGACATTGGTTCAACGAATCTAAACGTGGGCGAACATCCGTTTTTTGATGAGGATCTACCAGGACGCCCGGCAGACATATACTAAGTGACATATAAATCCGAACACCCAGTTTAAATGGTTTTATTTTAATAAGTTGGTGAATGTTCCGGTTTTTATACTGCTTTTTTTTAATTCACTAACGCTCTAAAAATGAATATTTCAGCCGCAGTAAAGAATCAACGTTGGCGGATTTTGGTTCTTGACATCCTTTACGATCGGTTACGATGCCTAGAGTACGGAGACCTGTACGATTTCGTCAACTTAGTGAGTTTGATAGGGGCCGTATAGTGGGACTTCGGGAAGCTGGACTTTCTTTTCGGGCAATTGCAGTTAGAGTGCAAAGAAGTGTAGACACTGTGGTTAGGTGTTGTCAGGCATGGCTTCGAGAAGGCCGTACGCAAAGAGCAAGGGGCACTGGAGGCCGCCGTAGAACAACAGACCGTGAAGATCGCCGCCTAAGATTATTGGCCTTAAGGGACCGTTTCTCCACTACCACACTACCAGGTCCATTGCAAATGAATGGTTTGCAGAACACGGAAGACCTATTGGCATGCGAAGTGTTTACCGACTAATGAGAAGTTTTGGCTTGTTTTCATACCGGCCACACTGGGTCCTCCCTTTAACACCGACGTAATCGCCTAGAGTGGTGCAGACAACAGTTTTGTCTTTAGTGACGAGTCTCGATTTTGTTTAGGCATGCACGGTGGTCGTGCCAGGGTTAGAAGGCGACGTGGTGAAAGGAGGAATCCACAGTTTTTTGTTGAAAGACATGTTCATCACACTGTTGGAGTTATGGTTTGGGGTGTTATAGCTTATGGTTCCAGGTCACCTTTAATCTTCATCAGAGGTAACATGAACGCGCAGCGTTATATCCACGAAGTTCTAGAACCCGATCTTTTACCCTATCTTGACACCCTGGCAGATCCAACTTTCCAACAAGATAATGCCCGACCACATGTTGCAAGAGTCACAATAGAGTTCTTTCAACATAATGATGTCACATTGTTACCATGGCCACCAAGATCTTCCGACTTATCCCCAATTGAGCACGTGTGGGATATGATGGGTAGGAGATTGCTCAATTTGCAACGTCCTCCTCAGACTCGAGCAGCATTTCGAGAGGAGTTGGTGGTTGCCTGGAATGAGATACCACAGGAGGACATTGACCACCTGATCACAAGCATGCCTAGGCGCGTTGGAGAATGCGTAGCACATCAGGGTGCATCCACACATTATTAAAGGTCAAAGAGCTTTAAAGCAGTTCAATCATTTTGAAATTTTTGTCATTTACTTATTATGCTTCATTAAGTACTTATACAAAATTTTATTAAAATAAAACCATTTAAACTGGGTGTTCGGATTTCTATGTCACAGTATAGTTACCGAGGAAGTCATTCAAAAAGTCCATGACATGATTCTCGCTGATCGACGAACGAAAGTGCGCGAAGTAGAAAAAAGAAGTGGCAGGAACGTTGGAAAAGTGTATCTTTCTAAAAGGGGATTATGTTAAACAATAAAAAGATTTTTTTTAGAAAAAATGCTGTCTTCATTTCTAACACGGGTACTTATCGAAGCGCTCTCGTATGTGACTCTGCTGTCAAATCGTGCCAGTAAGAATAATCCTCCCTGACTGCATATTGTTCATTATATCCGTAACCTTGATGTAGACATCAATTTTTCTTCTGTGTTACTTTACACTTTTCCGTTGCTTACGCGGTTTATAATATGTTACATCTTCTCTTCTTTGTTGCAGACCTGAACGTGAAACTGAGCATTCCAGTATTTGTGATGCTGTGATACCTGTGTTGTGGCAATTGGACATCTTCAACTAAAGGTTAGTAGCTCTTACAAAATTAGCAAACATGGAAATCGGTTTGTAATTTTAAGCAATTCGGAGAGTAGTACTGAAAGCATATCAGCGTTCGACATGCGGTGTTATCGCTGGATGTTGCATATCTATTCATGGACGTACCAGTTTACTAATGCAGACATTTTGTAAGGAATATATTAAGATCTAAAACTGATCTGCATCACAAGTGTTTGGTTTAATTTTAAACATCTTGATTACTACTCAAAACATAATTACTTCATCTTATGTCTGATAAAATACCTTGAGCAAAACGATCAAGACTAAATTAAGGCTTTTTTGGGCACATCTACTTAAAATACTAACAAAAGCTGTGAATGCAACAATTTTACTTGTTGGTGATCCAACATTTAATGCAAAGATATATATTTGTTGAAGGGCCGCATGGGTATCATGTAAAAAACATATAAAACGTCAAAAAAAACCTATGTCATCTTGCAAACTAGGTAGTTTTTAGGGTTCAAACAGTCATTCCACGTTTGCTTACTAGGATCGTTGCGAACGTCCAAATGGTTCTTGTCTGTAGTTTTTATCTCTGAGAAGAAAGTTGGTTGAATAGCAAGATCGCATCTGGATGATTATGTGTATTGGTCTGCATGTGTATAAAATCAGTGATATTTGCTGTGTGAGAAAATCATTACTGAATACGCTGCCAATGAAGTATATCTATTGGCTGTGCCCGACGGGTTATTTTTATGTTGTGTTTTTTGAAGAGAGGTTATGTTTACTGTTAGCATGTATATGGCTTGCAATGTACAGTGAATATAATTATTTCTTATCTCTCTCGTTTTTGAAATTCAGCAAATTTGTATATGTAATTTCCAGAATGGATAAGAAAAAGTGGATGCGCAACTAATTTGTAGCTTTGAATCTCAATTAAGTGTATTTGAGACCAGAACCCAATGCAACTATCATCAACACATACAACTTAAAGCTTAGACCTCCAGTAATGCCATCTCAGAAGCAGATTTTACATCACATCAGAGCCAAAGATTGATAACAAGCCTCATGACGTTTAAGCAACAGGTGCAACTAAGTGCTAAGTTAATATTTTGTAGGAAAACCTACGTAATGTCAAAACAAAACAGCATAATGTCAAAAAAAATCGGCATAATGTTACTTTTGAAGATACGTGATACCCGTGCCGAACGTGAAAATGAGCATTCCAGTATTTGTGATGCTAGAACCATCTAAGTGGTTCGGATTCCTGAGCTTAATCAACCTAAGTGGGCTTAAAGGTACCCAATCATGTCTTTTGTCATCTTACCTTCTGCAAATTGGAATTAGTGACAACAGGTTCTCAATCGCATAATCTATTTCACAGGTAAATCGATATGATGCATATAAATATCGTGCAACCTCTTATTTTTTTATCGCAAGTGTTATTTGCATATTTATTTTTTTATGGTATTGCCTAGTTGCAATCATAACTTTCTATTTGCTTTTATTTCCTATGACAAGAATCGAAGCGTCACAACATGGTTACACACATCCGAACAATAACAACCGCAAATCTCACTTTCTGCATCTATTAATGAATTTCTCCTTGAATATTTTGGAGTCACATTTAAATCAGTTGCGGTTTTATGAATTAGACTATATTTCTGTTTCATATTTTTTATTTTTGATGGCTTTCACTTCTATATCTGTTGACGGCAATTTTCAAAAATTTTACCAAATGGACTGACTCATTACACCCTATAGCAATGGAACTGATTATGTGTAGATACAGCTTTGGGAAGCATTGTGGAACGTAGGTACGAACGTCCGTAGCCAGAAGAAGGAAGCTTAAAGAATTGAGCTACCAATATTCCATCTAAACAATCTGGCTTTTGACAAGGTCATAATACAGCTGCGACATTCTGCGATTGAACAGACAGTATAACAATGGCGATTGTCATGCGACAATCAGTAGCTCTCATACTTCTTGACTTCA